CCAACGAAAAAAAGCAAAATGAAAAAAGCTAAGCCCGAAACAATTGTAACATCTCTTTTTTTTAAAGTTGTAGTAAGTGTCTTACAGCACTTTCAACACAATAAGGTCATATAAGCGCCGAAGATTACAGGTGTTACAAGAGAGTAACAAATACAAAAAAGAAGGAGGAGAGATAAGGACCCCGCCAACCACCCATGGTCACATCTCTGGCCAAATCAGCACTAGCAAGAACCAGTGGTTACGTCACATCTGCCCGGGCACTGTCCGAGAGTCCCCCCTGGAGGGACACGGTTTTTGGATGGCCATAACGTTTTACTTACCGTCCCGAGATTGTGATTGGCTCATTCCCTCACTCATCGCACCGCGCCGACCCCGGCGGGCACACTCAGGCGAACCTGAACGGCCAGAAGTGGGAGGAGGGCGGATTGTTTGGGACAGAGAGGAATAATTACTTTCTTTTAGTTTTAGTAAGACTAAGAGTTTTATGGCACTTGCAACACCAAGGTCGTATATGTTTGATGGGAAAGAAGAAGAAACCCTAATGAGAGCGCCATCAACCATCTATAGGAATGTTTAGAGACATGTGTGTGTGTACATGCGTCACATGACATAATGCCACACACAACTGTGTACTCACTCTGTCATGCGACTATCCAGATTCCCGATCCACAGCCTCCTGTCCGTGTACTCATCACCGAACGGGTCATCCGGGATGTCCAGATTGTCCACCACAGGAGGCAGACCACTAGTTGACTCACTGACCGCTGCAGCATCCTCATCACCCGAGGCGCTGTCCTCAGTCAGGCCCGCCACCTTTTCTGAAGGTTTGACCTCCACGTCTGAACTGGACCCACCCGAGGTTCCAGTCGTCAATTTCAACTCGATTCTTCGAGAGTTGTCCGAGGACTTCCCACGCGTGTCCGCATTCTTTGTCAGTGTCTTGTCTTGGGAAGACATGTCCTCTGTGTGCACACCACTCACACGGGAACTTCAGAACTTAGAACCCAAGCGTCAGCGACCAGTCTCACTGGAGCTGTAAACGTATCCACAAGTGACCAGTGACCACTTTTATTCACACAGGAACTTCAAACATGTGAGAAACACGTCGTGTGTGCGTTTAGAAAATTCTGGTATAGACGGCAACTGAAATATGTCTTGTTCACTTCTTCACCTGTAAACTTTGGCTTTCTCTCACTAGAAGGTGCTACTCCAGGAATCTGCAAGTAATCAAAATACGAAAGAAATACTTAGAATAGAGTTTGAATGTGAGTTTTTAATATTGTATTGAGTAAAGAGAAGCACAGCACTGCAACACAAAAACAGTCAGTTAGCGCAGGGGAAAAGTTAGGGGTAAAGAAAACAACAGAGAGAGAGAGAGAGAGAGAGA